GTATCTGATATAGAGTGGGAGTTTAACACAGTTGATCTTGGCCAGTGATGCATTTCTGATAGGAGAGAGATTGATGGGTGGATACATAGAGACATACCACTGGGTCAGTACATGGCAGATATACCACTGCATTAATATAAGAGTATTTTTCACTCCACAACTCCACCCTCATAACATTATTTACCCATATCCTTTGTAACACTCTCATCCTAACACACACAGTTTTATACCTGCAGGCGAGGGCCAGGTGGAGCAGAATGAAACACATACAAGGTACTTTAATTAGTCTTTTATTAAGGTATAGTTATCTGTGAACTGAGAACAGTATTGTATTATGTCAGCTGTTGTTATAATTTTGATAGAGAGAAGATTATAGATAATGGCATTATAATGATGTTTTGAAAGAAAAATATATATATAAAAATATATTTTATATATATATATATTATATATATATAAAATATTATATATGCGCAAAAAGATCACAGTAAACAGGTGATTTCAGAATATGCCAAAACAACCACTCTGAAAGAATAGAGAAATTCCAAGCGCTTTCGTGACTACTCACATTATCAAGGAACTATGAAAATAAAGCATCCCAAAGGGAAACTATATAAGGGGTCTGGCCCGCACCCCATATCAGATCCCACAATGGTTAAACACCTGACGCGCGCCGACCCAACTTGGATAGGTCCTTTGCACAACTCACCCCCCAAACTATTTTTACCCAAGAAAATTTAAAAATTATTTGTCCCGTGTATTATTAAAATTTTTCCCAAATTCTATTAATTATAAATGGATCTAATTTATATAAACCAAAGGAAAAAATTCATATTATTGTCAAAACTGCTTTTATGAACAAGATTCAATTATATTTCCTGTCGACCATGGACTTGGTTTGATACTACTTTTTCAACTTTTTGAAAATCAATTGGATGGTTAAAATCTCTTACATGAATAAATAGAGATTGGAATCTTGTCCAGTTCTAATGCTATATTTATGTTGTTTTAATCTTAGTTCGAGATTTTTACCGTTTGACCGTAATAAACTTTATCGCAAATTTTTCAAGGAATCTTATAGCACATCCATCAGCCCTTTTGGGGGGAATTCTTTATCAAAAGTTTTTTTACTGTATCAAGATTTTTGAATACAACTTTAATATTAAAAGTTTAAAAAGAGAAGGCATATCAACCAAGTTTTCATGGTAAGGGAGAACCCAAAGTTATTTTAGTTGAAAAGGCTGGTTGTCCCTTTTTGGATTGGTAAAAAGTATTTTTAGCAACTTTTAAAAAATTTATCAATTTACCTACAAATAAATGTTCCTATGTCCCCTATTATTCTCGCATCAAGATAGAGTCCAACTGTCTGTTTTTCATCAATGTTTCTGAGAGCTTTTCGAATTTGTAGTCCTGAATTCATAGATGAGGAAATATCCAAAAATTTTTGAAATAGGTAATGATTTAAAATACCCAAGAAATGTAATTTATAAATCTTTAAAAGTTGCTAGAAATATTTTACAATCCCAAAAAAGGGGCAACCAGCCTTATTCAACTAAAAATACGTTGGTTCTCCCTTACCATGAAAAATTGGTTGATATTTCCTTCTCTTTTTAAGACTTTTAAATTAAAGTTGTATTCAAAAATCTTGATACAGTTAAAAAAAATTTTGATAAAGAATTCCCCCAAAATGCTGATGGATGTGTTTTATAAGATCCATCGTAAAATTTGCGATAAAGTTTATTACGGTCAAACTGGTAAAAATCTCGAACTAAGATTAAAACAACATAAATATAGCATTAGAACTGGACAAGATTCCAATGCTCTATTTATTCATGTAAGAGATTTTAACCATCCAATTGATTTTCAAAAAGTTGAGAAAGTAGTATCAAGCAAGTCCATGGTCAACAGGAATATAATTGAATCTTGTTTCATAAAAAGCAGTTTTGACAATAATATGAATATTTCCTTTGGTTTATATAAATTAGATCCATTTATAATTAATAGAATTTGGGAAGAATTTAATAATACACTGGACAAATAATTTTTAAATTTTCTTGGGTAGAATAGTTTGTGGGGTGAGTTGTGCAAAGGACCTATCCAAGTTGGGTCTGTGCGCGTCAGGTGTTTAACCGTTGTGGGATCTGATAGTGAGGTGCTGGCCAGACCCCTTATATAGCTTCCTTGGATGCTTTACTTTCATAGTTCCTTGATAATGTGAGTAGTCACGAAAGCGCTTGGAATTTCTCTATTCTTTCAGAGTGGTTGTTTTGCATATATATATATATATATATAAATTCATGAATATTTATAATTTAGAAACATAAATAATGTGTGTGTGTAATCTCTTTTTACATAAATATCTTTGTAATAAGCTAAATAACAAGTGAAGGATATATAGCAAGTTTTGAGTAGCTAAAAGGTACAAGGAGCGAGATTTCTTAAATATCAATATTTTTATTAACAAATCACATACGTCGTGCCCTCTTGCCGGGCTAAACAATATAATATTAAGAGTTTCCATCACGCGGCCAACAGCAGAGGACAAAAATATATTCACAACCCTCCATTAGTCAAGTCTGCACCTCGTAATATATCCGTGTAGGGTGTTCCTTGTTCTGGATTACCTTTACATCCACATTGGATGCTCCTTGTTTGGATTACCTTTTACATCCACTTACGATGTTCCTTGTTAGGATTACTTTTTTTTTTTTTTTTGTCTCCACATATACTTAGATTTTTGTCATTTCATTTTATCTTTCTATAATGTTGTTTATTCAGTATATCACACTATAGAAATTATCATGGAGGTCAATTTGATTTTGATAACTGGACTCTGTATCCCACCAGTACAGTATTTAGCTTCTGTATAAAGAGCTTTTTAATCTGTCTACACAATTAAATTTGCTGGATGCATCCACCACTGCCTCTAAATGTAATCATGATGAGAGCGCTGCAATTATTCCAGCTTGATGTACATTAAATCGAGTGGCGCTGATTGGCTCTCGAGCAAGAGGTCTTTCCACATGTTGACAAGTTGCAACAAACTATTATTTTTCCCAGCCCCTCCCCCTCCCCTCCTAGTCAGCATCATCATGTTTACATTTACAGGCCTTTGGAATACAACTT